AATCATACCAGACTCTTTAGGTCTGGTAGGAATGTTTTGGGGGACCCCTGATGTAAAATAAATAAAAAAAAACAGCATGTGGTTCACAGGCAATTAATACCAGACCTTTTAGGTCTCGTAAAAAATTTTAAGGGGATCCCAATGCCAAAAAAATGAAAAATCCCTTACTCAATCTGGACAGCAGCCTGGCAGGGCAGGAAAAGGGGGGGATGAGAGAGCAGCACCCCTCCCTACACCATACCAGGCCATATGCCCTCAGCATTTGGAGGGTGCTTTTCCAGGGGTGGGGGGGGGCTTGGAAAAGCACCTTGTACCCAAGTTATTTCTGTCATTCGGAGATTCGGATGCATCTGAATTTACAGAAATTTGTATGAATTTCAATTCATAATGAAACAAATTGCACATGTCCACCAATAAGAAGCACTTCTGAGCCGGGGACCAGGTCCTAGAAGAAAGAAGCACTTTTTACTGGTCAGCGTGGTCACGCGACCATGCTGACCAATGAGTGCTTGCTATTTGTGAACATTACGCTGAATGCTCACTGTGGGGCTGAAGTGCAATGTATGCTGTACAGAACGTACACCAGCTGGTGGGGAAGGGATGGGGGGCAGTGAAAAGATATGCACAGTGGGGTGAGTAGAGGTGGTAGAGTGGTGTCAATAAGTTTATTTTCTCACAACATACCTTTTAATGTAAATAAGGCAAAGTGGTGTTCATTTTGAATACCCAATCATGTGCTAAAAAAAATCTGTTTTCTTCCTCACATATGATTGGTTACTCAGAGTGAGCACAGGTTCATCTTATTTACCAATTAACATCATTTGGGGCTTGAAACTAACTATGATGCATTTCAAATAGAAGCAGAAGAAGGGTTAACCCTCTACTCATTATTCACTGATGTCAAAAGTCCTGGTGTAGATCTCTCCCCTCACTCCTGGCATGCCCATAGTAGTTTGAGAGTTTGTTGAAAGCCAAGCTTCTTGTGTTAGCAGATTATGTATTGTCTGTGTGTTCCTAGAGAGGACACACTAGAGGGTACCATGATACAGTGGGGTCTATTCACGAAGCAGCCGAAGGATCTAGCCATAGCTTCAGCTGATCCTTTGGCTAGCTTCGGCCCCAGGGCCCCTTTGGTTCAGTAGAACCAAAGGGTGGCTGTACGGGCTATTCACTATAGCCCGTACAGCTCCCGAAGTTGGGTGAGCGGCTCAGTGGAGCCGAAGGCATATGCCTCGGCTCGACTGAGCCGAGGTGAAAGCCGAAGCTGGCCGGCCAACAGCCTACTTCTGACAGCTGGGCGGAGCCAGCCGTGATCTTATGGCTGGCTCCAGCCACTTGCAGAGAAATCTTCATTCCTGGTTACCAGGTAACCAGGGACACTGATCTCCAGACAGCTCAACTCCCCCGGGCGCTCTGGGAGTCTCCCGCTATTAGATAGTGGCTCCCGGCCGCCCAGGAGAGAAACACTTTCTCCAAGAAAGGTTTACTCTGCTCGATCGAGCAAAGTGAACCTTTCCCTGCTTTTAAAAAAAAAAATATTCTGACATCGAGCCGTTGGCTGCCGTCAGAATAATAAAAAAAAAATCCCCATAGGAAAGCATAGCTAGATTCCTATTGGCTATTTCAATTTGCAAAAGCCAATAGCAAAGTAGCTATTGCTGCTGTCAATCAGCAGATGGGGAACTGCAGTTCTCCATCAGATCCCCGTCTGGTGATTGACAGTAAGGATGGGCTGAACGTTCGAGTCGAACATAGGTTCGACTCGAACATTGCATGTTCTAGCGTTCGCCGAACGCCGAACATTATGGGATGTCCGCGGTCTGTTCGACCGCGGCACATCCCACTTTTTTTCTTTTTTTTTTGGCGGCAGCAAGACTGTCCGGTCAATAGAGAACAGGTGGGCGGAGCTAGCTGTCACTGCTAGCTCCACACAATCGTTTTCTATTTTATTTTTTCTACTTTGTTAACTATTTTTCTGTTCTGCTCAGTCCCACAGAGGGACCGAGCAGAATAGCCGAGCAGAATGCCGCTCAGCGGAATTCGACTATTTACTCACTGCTGTTCGGCATCTATAAGAATAGACCGAACAGCAGCGAGTAGCCTGCCAGAGGTTCGGCTAAGCCGAACCAGATGTTGGATCGGCTGAGTTGAACTCCTTCTGCACTTCGGGACGGCCGAACATGCCGAGCATGTTCATCCGACCCGAAGCCATACGAAGCCACCCGATGTACGGCTGATTTCAGCCGATATACAGCTGAAATCAGCCGTACCAGCCAGAAGTGAATAACCGAACAGCGTTCGGATCACTTCGCTTCAGGACGGTCGTTCACTCGGCTGCCTACGGCAGCTTAGTGAATAGATCCCAGTATTTCAGGGAAATGTATAAAACCAAAAATGTTCATGATGTTTGCTATTTTGTTGCATAAATATACTTATTATTTTGTATGATGGACAAGCATACCCAAAATAGAAGCATCACACAAATGAGTTCGATCATAGCATACATTGCTATATAATTGAACATACAGAATGAAGTGACAAGTGAGTTTCGTCCTTCTCTGTGAAAGAAGAAAGACATTGGGTTAAACAATTATTGATAGTTTGTTACATCAATGTATTATAAACATTCTTAACAATCTTTATTGTTTAGTGTCATTGTGCACTGTGAAAAATATATTGCACAGCCAGTCACACTAGTGACTGCCATGTTTACCACACTGTTGCTGTATTGTGACCTCAGTTGGATGGCTTACCATTGTGTTTTCTGTTTACTATCTAGTAACTGGCTCACATAAGCTGCCATTTGCTCTGACCACTTAATAATAGGGATGTTCAGATACCAAGTACCGTACTCGGTACAAGTACATGTACAGATACTTTTCCAGCTCCAGAACTAGACTAGAGAAAAATTCAAAAGTTAGGAGGCAGCTGTCATTTGGAACATACAGAACTCCTGGGATTTGTACATCCCCATTTTAATGCATTATTCTTTTTTTATAAATATATGTAAGTGATGCAATGTACCATTTTTACAAGTACAAGTACTGACACTTGTCCAAGTACTCATAGATAGACATGTGCAATTCGTTTCGTTCCGAATCGAAATTCGGACGAATTTTCGTAAATTCGGACATTCGGATGTATCCGAATTCCGAATTACAGACATAACGAATGCAAACGAATCCGAATTTCCATTTCCGAAATTCGGTAGCGTTCGCACGAACGTTCGTTTCGTTTTCTGTTCTTATTCGTTTCTTATTCGTTTCTTATTCGTTTCGTTCGTTGGAGCAAAGTGACATTAGAGAAGGAGAAAAATATTTTTTCCCCCTCAAATGTCACTTTTGCTGCAAACGAACGAAACGAATATGAAACAAATAAGAAACGAATAAGAAACGAATAAGAACAGAAAACGAAACGAACGTTCGTACTAACGCTACCGAATTTCGTCCGAATCCGAATTCCGAATCCGAATTGACTTTCACACCCGAATCCCGAAAAACGAAATAACACAAATCCGAATTTAAAACGAAACGAAACGAATTTTTTGGCAGTGCACATGTCTACTCATAGATACAAGTACTGATACATTTTTGTTTATTGTCATGTGACAGTTTTTCTAAAACAATACAGCCTAATGATTTTAGGACAGTGATGGAGAGCCAGAGCCAGGTCCCAGCTGCAAGCGCTGCAACCCTGGTAGTTCTCGTGAAAATGCCAAGTATCGGCACTGGTATCTGAACTGGTATCTGGACATCCCTACTTAATAACCCTAATTCCTATCTAGTAAATTGTACACTGATGGTCAATGTACATTGCAGTCCTAGTTTGCCATGTACACTGACCTTCCAAATAATGCTGCTTTAGTGCCTTCTACTCACATAAAGTGCACCACAGCATGCGTATGTCAACATTTTACCAGAAAATGAAAAGAAAAACTAATGTGACCAGCCAAGCAATGTCATGGGCATATCCCAATTAAAGCAGGAAAGTGGCTACATCATCCTATCTGTGCCTGGGCACTGTGATACCCTCAGCACAACATGCACTATGGCTTTTTTTTTTACTTTTACTGTCATCTGTTAATGATACCAATATGCACTTTATGCAATTTTAATCCTAAATGAGATGTGCATATAACATCACTAGCAATGTTGATTTGGGCCCAACAACAAAGATAATCACACTTTTAAGGCATACAATGGTTTAGCTGCCGTAGATCTGGTTGCTTGACTGTATACTCCATAGCAGATGACACTTGTTCTATCACACGTATCATAGGCACACAATAAATACCATTAGGATACAATTTGGATGTCTATGTGTAATCATTGTGCCATTATAAGTTCATAAAGCCCATAACTGGTAAAGTTTTTAGGGATCAGAGTGTTGTAAGCAAATGTGCTGTTCTCCGAATGCAATAAAAGCAAGTATTGTACAATGATTTTGTTTAGTGATTTCAACAAACTTGCATTCTAAAACTGTGTATTTTAGTTTTACAATATCAGCTGGGGCTCATCAAGCATGTTTCACACATACTCAAATGCTGAGATTTGTTAATGACTTTAACAACGATTCAAACTATCTGCCAAAAATACTGCACAAACATGTTAAGAATGATAAAGTATGAGATGAACTTACTTGATAAGCTTTGGAACACATTCAATATTGGGGGTTTTTGATGTGAAAGGTGAAGCCACAGAAGCCTCTAGTTCTGATAGTGAGATACCAGCGTGAGCTGCTTTTAAAGCCTGCAGATTAAATCCACAAAAATGGTGATCATATTGAGTTATTTGTACTTTTATCTATTAATTAAATTTCGATCAGATTGACATATTTACTGTAACCTATTACTGAAACAATCAGAGCAAAACTGGCTGATCGCTGGCTTTTAAAAGCGGTACCAAGAACACGGGTGCTGCAGTGTTTAAACCACTTTAATGGGCCGCCGTCTATAGACGTATTGCGGCACGGAAGTGGTTAAAGAAGGATTTATTGCCCTCAGATCTAGGTATCTAACAGTGGTATAAAACACAGTTGGTGCATGAGAAAATACTGTGACTGATCTTACAGGGTAATAGATTTATCTGGCTGCCCTCTGTCCATCAGCATCTATTCTTGGAGGTTGTTCTCTCATATGATAAGTTGATCTGTTGCTGCTGTTATTTCAGAATAACCGTTCCTTTATTATTTTGTGCTTTTAGGGTATCATGCATCCCTAAACCCTCTCTCCTCAATTTGAGCTCAGCAATACATTATAAAAAGACCCTAGAGCAGGGGTCTTCAAACTACGGCCAGCGGGCCACATCCGGTCCGCCAGGGTCCTTGGCCCGGCCCGTTCGGGTGTCAAGGCCGGGGAGGTGCAGGCCCATACCTTGGCTACCTCCCGGCCGGCCGTTTTTTTACACTGGTCGGCCGGGAGGTAGGAGCTCTCTAGATAAGCCACGCCCACTTGTGCGTGCCTTGCGGCGCGCGCGAGTGGGAAATCCAGTCAATTTAAAAACAGGCAGCGATGCCTGTTAACATAGAAGCGATCCGCCCGGGACCAGCATAGTGCCTCTGTCACAGGGGATCAGAGGGAGGTCGGTACAAGACCTCCCTCTGGTCCCCTCTCCGCTGTAAGAATGCGGAAGTGATGTATATTACATCACTTCCGCATTCTTGTGTCACTCTCCAGCTTCAGACGCTGGAGAGAAGCTGATGAAGCTGGTCTCTGCTTCATCAGCTTCTTCGGGGGTCCTAGGAGACATTAGGGGTCTTGGAGACCCCTGATTTCTCCATAAAGGGGACCTGTAACATATTTTGCTATCACATAGGGGGGTTTCTTAGCCCCCTATGTAATAGCAATAAAGTTAAGTGAAAAAAAAATAGGAAACAAAATTAAAGATTACATTTTTTTAAAAAAGTTACACCCATACATACACGCATGCAAACATGCGTCGGGTGTGCATACCTGCGAAAACGGCGATTGGGCCCATTACACCGCACATGTTACATATCGCCGCACATGTTACATATCGCCGCGAACGTCGCAGTGTGAGCAATAATTCTAGGGCCATCAATCACTTATAACACTAAACTGATGAGCAGTAAAAGTTTTTAAAGCGTCGCCTATGGTCAATTTTGGGTATGGTGTTTTTTTGCGATTTTGCGAGTGCGCGCAATTTTTAAGCTTGACATGTTTGGTGTCTATTTACCTGACGTGACCCCGTCTTTTATGTTTTACCAAAAAATTGGGTGATAATAAATGTTTCCTAACATAATGTTAAAAAAAAAAACTTTTTGGAAAATTTTCTGTAATTTTCCCGAAATATAGTAAAAAAATTAAAACCGCAGTGGTGATTAAATACCACAAAAAGAAAGCTCTATCTGTCTAAAATGGTATAAAATTAATTTAAGTACAGCGTTGCAGGACGGAATAAATGTCAGTCCAATATTGCAGCGCTGAATACTGAAAAATGGCCTGGCCAGGAAGGGGGTCTAAACACCTGGTCTTCAAGCAGTTAAAATAGGCCCAGCTGCCCTAAACAACATATAGCAATCAATCGGCCACCCGCCCGCCCGCGGGGTCCAGGGAGAGATCGTCATTCCGCTTGCCCCGCCTGGGTGTCAGGGAAGACACACAGGCTGTTCCCGAAGCTTGGCAGCTTCTGTGTTCGGGCTGCGCCCTTTCATCTCAGGGCGCATGCCGAGGCAAACCAAATGCCTTGGTTCCTTTAGCAGCGTAACGCCAGTGCGGCTGCGCCCCTCTAACTTTGGGTGCACGCCAGCACAGGCTCTTGTAGGGCGGCCAATAAGAAGAGAACTGGGATATGAAGTCATGTCATCTCCCTGCCTCTCCCAAAGCTGCACGCCGCTGTAGAGAGGTAAGACAGGGCAGTCTGCATGCCCATTCATTGTAATAAATAAAAAATACTTGAGCTGTAGAAAATAATAAGAAGTCATGCTAGTACATGTCACAGGCTAAGAGGAATGAATTGTATTTAAAAATGTTTTGTTTATTAAAGAAGTTGTTAAAAATATTTAAATATACCCTCTAAGTAAGGGCTTATTCACACCAGAGCAGCAGCTGCTGGAACGCACAGCAATTGCTCACTAACGTTCCCCCTTTGTTCTGGGACGGGAGGGGGCGTGGCGGTGCAGCACCACAGCCACCCACCCTGTTTTTTAAACTATGATCCGGCCCCCAGCAATGTCTGAGCAGGGCCGGCGTCAGCGCAAGGCAACATGGGCAGTTGCCTGAGGGCGCCGGGGAACAGGGGCAGGCTCGCGGAGAAAGTAAGTATTTCTGTCGGCTGCTCGGCATAAGTGCATGCATCAGCCCTGAGGGTGATCCGTGATTCGTCCGATCTATAGAGATCGGTAATTAGGCATCTTGAAGGACGGAACTCCCAATCTCAGTAGTTACAGAACAGAAACAGGTAAGAATCAGAAATGTTTGAAAATTCTTGCAATGTACATACCTGACCTGCAAGACATGTTTGTTTTCCAGGAAGCCTGAATTTTAATTAAAGGCAGTGTAACTGTATTGACAGTATATCCTGAAAGCTCCAAGCCCCTATGGCTTTTCAGAAACTTACTACAAACTGAGATAGGCGGATATTAAAAGTTACTCACCCCACAGTCATTTGCTCCATCTCCACACATGCCAGCATAATAACTAAAGAATAAAAGAGATATCAGATCACTCTAGTAAAATACCCGTGTGTGTACTATATGTAACTATAGTTCATTTAGGTTTTTTTAACATGTTTGAGATCTGAAAAATTATTCAGGATTGTGTGGCCAAATGGTGAGGAACCAGGGAAAGAATCAGGGATCAATGTCAGACAAACTAAAGTTAACACAAGTAGAAAGAATCCTAAACAAGGCAAAAAGCTGAGGTCAGCAACGTTAACCTTGACCCTAAAAAACGCCCACAGTGTGAGCAGCAAGCTTTACAATATGCTAGCAGCGTAACGCCAGTGCGGCTGCGCCCCTCTAACTTTGGGTGCACGCCAGCACAGGCTCTTGTAGGGCGGCCAATAAGAAGAGAACTGGGATATGAAGTCATGTCATCTCCCTGCCTCTCCCAAAGCTGCACGCCGCTGTAGAGAGGTAAGACAGGGCAGTCTGCATGCCCATTCATTGTAATAAATAAAAAATACTTGAGCTGTAGAAAATAATAAGAAGTCATGCTAGTACATGTCACAGGCTAAGAGGAATGAATTGTATTTAAAAATGTTTTGTTTATTAAAGAAGTTGTTAAAAATATTTAAATATACCCTCTAAGTAAGGGCTTATTCACACCAGAGCAGCAGCTGCTGGAACGCACAGCAATTGCTCACTAACGTTCCCCCTTTGTTCTGGGACGGGAGGGGGCGTGGCGGTGCAGCACCACAGCCACCCACCCTGTTTTTTAAACTATGATCCGGCCCCCAGCAATGTCTGAGCAGGGCCGGCGTCAGCGCAAGGCAACATGGGCAGTTGCCTGAGGGCGCCGGGGAACAGGGGCAGGCTCGCGGAGAAAGTAAGTATTTCTGTCGGCTGCTCGGCATAAGTGCATGCATCAGCCCTGAGGGTGATCCGTGATTCGTCCGATCTATAGAGATCGGTAATTAGGCATCTTGAAGGACGGAACTCCCAATCTCAGTAGTTACAGAACAGAAACAGGTAAGAATCAGAAATGTTTGAAAATTCTTGCAATGTACATACCTGACCTGCAAGACATGTTTGTTTTCCAGGAAGCCTGAATTTTAATTAAAGGCAGTGTAACTGTATTGACAGTATATCCTGAAAGCTCCAAGCCCCTATGGCTTTTCAGAAACTTACTACAAACTGAGATAGGCGGATATTAAAAGTTACTCACCCCACAGTCATTTGCTCCATCTCCACACATGCCAGCATAATAACTAAAGAATAAAAGAGATATCAGATCACTCTAGTAAAATACCCGTGTGTGTACTATATGTAACTATAGTTCATTTAGGTTTTTTTAACATGTTTGAGATCTGAAAAATTATTCAGGATTGTGTGGCCAAATGGTGAGGAACCAGGGAAAGAATCAGGGATCAATGTCAGACAAACTAAAGTTAACACAAGTAGAAAGAATCCTAAACAAGGCAAAAAGCTGAGGTCAGCAACGTTAACCTTGACCCTAAAAAACGCCCACAGTGTGAGCAGCAAGCTTTACAATATGCTTTGACAGAATTCCCTAAATAGTGACCACCAGTAATCAGTGAGCCATCCCTGGGAACCGTTATAGATGCACAGATGGCAGGAAGCATACATATTTGATTGCATGTGCAAAAAGCACCATTGCAGCACAGGGCATTACAAAGTTTACATATGTACATACTTTATCTATGCAAGATGTTTGCGATAGCAAGTGAGACATGATTGAGCTATTGTTTTATAGACCTTTGCTTTTCATATACCCCTTGAATAGACGTTTAAATATAGTAAAGACTACACATTTTCCTCTGTACAGCTTTCCATTTTTATATGAAATATGTAACATTGTAAATAATTAAGAACTTACTCTATCTTCTGAAATTCCTCGATAAGGTTGGACTTTTGTCCTGGACTCATTCTAGCAAATATGGTTCCATTCAGAAGAATCTGTAACCACATTATTAGATATTTCATAGATTTAACAACTGAATTGGACATTATTGGACTTCATAGACAGTCAATATTTAGAGAAAAATGTGAGTGTTACAGCTTTCCCACCAATAGTAATGAATTACAGGTTTCACTTGATTAAAAAGATGGCATAGCCAAACATGATATGGTGAGGTAGGCTAAAAGAAAAAGAAGAGAACAGTAGAGAACTTGTTAAGTGGGGACCTTTTGGTTCCTTTTAGCCCACTCCCAGTAACTTGTTTGATTGTACTATCTTGTGGATGTATAAGCTCTGATTTATAAGCTCCACTAAGTGGTTTGATGAAACTGCATTTTAATATCTTCTATTTACTCATACTTACTTTTGGAAGCAATGTATAGAAATGGTTCACAATTACTTGATAGGATTTGCCAGTCATAGCAAAATGAAAAGGTTTGATTTTGTTATCATCTGTGTCACACATGTCAATGTATAATTCCTGTGAAACAATATTAACAAACATATTTATTAATCACCTCTGTATGATTATTTTGTAATATTAAATGGATGTATTTCTTAATAAAAATTCCTGTGGTTAGAGGTTTATAAACATGCAAGTCATCTACCATGCTGATACCAGTTCACATGCCGTTGTGGACCTTGCACGTACATCATGGGGATGACCCTAAAAACAAAATGGGGCATTCTATGCCACCCTATGCCCCAAAAACTGGTATGTGCATGGGGAGGGGAGGGTTATGCACAATGTACCTATCCTCTGCAGAGAGGGTGGTATAGAAATTTTAGGACTAGTATGGGCTCATTCACACTAAATGCATTTTCATTTATTGTGCTACACCATCTCGGACAGGCACATGGAGTGGACAAGCCTATATGCATTGCTTTCCATAGGAATTGTTATTTTTCAATTGTAGAAAAAAAGTCCTGCCTAATGCATTGTGGGTGTGGTGACCTCTATTTTGCCTCATAATGTATATCTACTATAATTCTTTAAAAAATGCAACCCATTTCAAGGCATGCCAATGTACATTGGCCCATGTGATAGTGTGAATGAACCCAGCTCATTTCAAAACATATGATGTATTTTTAATGAGTTATTACCCAGCATGCTTAACATCTGCCCTGTTATAACCCAATAGGCAATAATGCAGAAAGTTAATGTTTTGCAACACAGGCTGCCAGAACTTTTTTTATTTTTAAGTGCTAAGTGCAGTTACCCATGGCAACCATTAAGAAACCATTTAGTACTAGTTTGATCTAAGAGAGCATAGTGAATCCAAATGTGTTGCTTTGAGTAACTGCAATTAAGAAATATGGGCATATTTATAAAGTAGTAAAAGAAATTCACCAAACATTCAGGGCCCATTCACACCAGCCCGGTCCGCTGCGGTGCATTAAAAGCACAAACATTCTGTCACGTGTTCACGTACGTTACATTAGGGCAATCCATTCCTTTAAATAGGCTGCTAAACTCAGCACACAGGATGAAAAATCTTGCATTCTTTATTTCTGGCAGGGCAGAAGTATATTGCCACGTACTGTGTGGCAATGCAGGTGTGCTAAGAAGGTGCATTTGTGGGCCCTCTCTGCAGGTATATCTTTCTGGTGCATATGCTTTAAAGTGTATTTCCACTTTTACAGCCAGATCGGGACAACACCTATTTTATATTTGTTACACATGTCAATTCACATAGCAGAAGCTAAAAAAAAAAAATGCTTGCAGTGTAAATTGCTTTTATATGGGTTAGGGTTTTAAGAGTTACACATTCTTCTAGCATCTATTTGTTTGAAATGTTAGGAGGGGCTGTGAAGGGTGAGTGGTCTAAGGTGGCTTCTCCATTGTATGCTAATGAAGCTTATCAGCTAAATACAATATTCAAATTTCAAAAGGCTGAGAAACACCTGGAATCAGCCATCTTGCCTGATTTAACAAAACATCTAAAAAGGTAAGACATCTGTTTTACATTTATTTTTCAATATGCTATGTGAATAGGAACACAAACATATAGAGGGGTTTTCACATTTAACTGCAAAAATGTAAATACACATTAAATTACAATGATTGATTCAATTGCAGTGAATTATTGGTGAATGTCACATTCACTGCTTTATAAATATGCTCCTTAGAACTTAAAAATAACTTTTTATTGAATATGTCTGATAGAAACTCTAATAATCATCCTTATTTTATGAAAACCTTCTTTGTTTAATCAGGCTTACACTAACTGCAAAGCAGTTTGAACAGTATATCAGATAATCATATTAGATGCTGCATTGTTTAAATATCCTTTAAAGTAAGCCTTTTATCAGACAAAATATACTGTCACCTACACTGGCAAACAAAAACAAAAGAAAAAAAGATCCCCTTCCACTTACAACATGACACAGTTTTGTGACAAAGAGTACCGAGAGTAAGACCTTAAAGGCCAATTGGTCTATTCACGAAGCTGCCGAGGCAGCCGAGTGAATGACCGATCTGAAGTGAAGTGAGCCGAACACTGAGCTTCAACAGTCATGCTGTTAACACTTGCAACTGTGAAGCAGGGTGGTAAACCGGTCCTTAGGAAAGGAGATCCAGACATTCTGGAAGAGCCTGTAAAGCATCTACCTGTTGTCTGATCAGGTAGGAGTACTATAAATCTACCAAATTTGCCGTTAAACCTGGAGGCCAGCAGGTCAACTACCTGTGACACAGGACCTAGAAAACTTCGGAGTGTAGAGGCCATTCCTCATATCCAGACGCTGCCAGCTGAGAAAGTCTGCCTGCCAATAGTTTATGTCTGGAATGTAAACAGTTGACAAGGCTGGAAAATGTTCTGTCCAGGACAAAATAATTTCTACCTCTCTTGCTGCGATAAGACTTCTGGTTCCTTCCTAATGGTTGTTGTATGCCACTACCATGGCATTGGTAAACTGGATACCAGTCAGATCCAGTTTACCAATTTAGAGAAAAATATAGTGATGAAGGGACCACCTGCATGTAAAAGGCTTACCCGTCCTGCAGTCTCGGCGCGGCTCCGAGTTCCATCGGGCACTCTACGATGTCAGAGGCGACGTCACGGGACTCCTCCCTCTCTCCCTGTTTAGGCCGCCGGTTGCACTTGCCTGGTGTTCGTGCAAGTGTGTAGACGCCAGGCAAGTTCCTTCGTCGGCTTGCCACGGACTCCCCACACCTATTGGGCCGGTCACAGCCCAAACTCCTCTCCTGCCATACGTCCTGTGTTCACAGGACCTTCCACCTTCTCCAGGTGTAAGCCTCTCTTCTAAGGACTCTCTGCCACCTCAGCCTGAGTTCCTCCTGCCTGCACTGTCGGAGCCTGCTGTTCCACTGAACTCCACAGTAGGGCAATGTTGCCACAACTTCCAACATGAGAAATCTCTCCAAAACTGCAAGTACACTTTATTAATTCAAAGACTGTTGCTATATTGATACAAGGATTATTTAAAGACTGTTGCTATATTGATACAAGGATTATTCAAAGACTGTTGCTATATTGATATCTGGATTACTCAAAGACTGTTGCTATATTGATACACTGGGTTGCCGCCGAGCATCCAACTATATCTGCCGCTGTGATCCACACACGGGTAATCCAGTGGGGGCCTGAGCTGTTACACTGCACCCCATTCCATAGCTGTGACCTGTTCAGGTAAGGCGGGGATCATAGTGACAACAACGGATGGTGCCGTGCGGATCCTCAAAGATTTGTAAAATGAGTCGTCCACACACACAAGTTCAGGAGGCAAACTTAATTCAATGTTATAGCAAATGCATCACAACCAAATTGTCTGAAAATCCTCACTGAATTAGAAAGAAATTTGTGTTCTCACTTGACCTCTGACTACATCAATATCTAGCAGCAAAGTCCAGCTTATCATTTATTTACCTGAATAAAGTCACTGAAATCGCATACCTAGAACAAATATGTAGATCAAGGGTCTCAACTTCAAGGGCTACATTCACGTTCCAAAGAAGTGACAGCATCAACAGCAAAGACAGGGCATCAGCTGGGCAACCCATGACTTACTTCATGTTTAAATGCGTCGTTCTCACTTTATTCTGGACAGTATAATGTCAGCACATTGGGGTTGATTTACTAAGGAGTAGAGTGTGTTCACTTTGCAAAGTTCATTTTCATTTTTTATAGTGAATTTTTACTTAGCTTAATAAATAATGTGAAGCTAAGTGAAAATTGAATTTGAAAAACCAACAAAAATCAATCATGTGCAAGGAAAAGATTTTTGATTGCATGATTGAAGTCAGCACAGTATTAGTTCATTCACTAAGATACGTGAAAATTCACTTTCTAAAGTGAACATGCTGTATTACTTTAGTAAGTCAATCCCATTACATGTATCTTCATAAATTGAACACTTTGGAAGTCTACATACGTTTGATACGTGTTCATTTTCTTCATTGTCATTCATTGTTTGCCAGGTGACTGATGCAGGAGAATGTCCTTCAGGAGCTTTGGCTTCTATTACAATTAAGTTACTGCCATAGGGAATCATCCCCGAAGATTTGCCAATAGTGCAGGCAGTCTGAAGGTTATCTCCTGAATGTGAAATGTAAAGTAGAGTAAATTAGAAATGTTTATTATGAAATAATTTCCATTTTTATACCATTGTAAATATTTAAAAACACCAGTCAATAGCTACAGGTATCCAGTATTGAGTCAGCACATGCTATTTGATTATGTATACCCATAAGCTTCACGCAAACATAATGCAAAATATTTGTCTTTAAACTCTGTAAATGAATGCCTCCAAGCACATTCCAGTCATCTCTCTATTTCTAAAGTGAAACTGTTATGTACACATTATATTCCAGATTGCTGCCTTGATTAAAAAGGGAAGAACTGGCATGTCAACATCCAAAGGGCACCTGCTTCCTATCTCTTCTACTCTCTTCAAGCTTGTTTTGTAAAACCATCTCAATGATCTGGGAAATTCATAAGCAATTCGTTATTAGTGGCCATCTTTTATAATTGCTTCATTACTGCAGTGTAAAGTAGTGCTGGTTCATGAGCATGAATATATAAAATATCTCACATCACTGATGGCTTCTGATTTGTCATTGGGGTCTACCATTAAGAAAACAGCAGAGTCCTGTACGCATTGTGTCATTTTGCAGGAAGGGAAGACATGCGATACCCAATCCTACTTCTCAATGTTATGCAAGTTCCCAGGGAAGTAACGTGGCTTCTATGAAGGAGAAAGAATAAGGAGAAAAGTTGTAGGAGTGGGTGCCCTAAGTAAAACCTTAAGATTTAGTAAGATTAGTAATTTTTAGTAATGCTAGTTCCCTGACAAACATTTGTAATATTATGAGAAAATAATGTGAACAACATATAAAAATGTACCTAGGTAGAAGTTTGTTGACTGATCAGTGAGACTTTGTTATTCGCTTTACTCACAAAGCCTCAATAGCAAACAAACTCCATAAAGAACATTGTAAACTCCTTTCTAGAAGGTACCTAGTCCAAGATTGGCTGCACAGAGTTGAAAGTTATTTGTTTATAATTAGTCAAATTAGAAACGTATAAATATTTGAACCGTGTGTTTAGCCCTTCAGTTGTGCTTTAGGCTACGTTCAGGCAAGAACCTACAGTTTCCTGTGGTAGGAATCCCAGGTGTCCCTGTTTAGATGCAGCCGCTGTACGCATGGAAGTATATGACAGGGTGTCTGTAACCGGCATTCCACAAGTAATTACAAATTGCATAATTGATTGTCCCTGGATGCAGGAGAGATGCGTCCAGCTACAATCATCTTTCCCAAACCGCACATAATCGTACCATGTACGATTCTATAGGTTCTTGACTCAGGAATCCCAGAACACCCTGAGTGAATGAGGTCATAAATATAAATCTACATTTAAAATGTATACCTGTTATCATAACAGTCCTTATATTGGCAGCCATTAACTCTTGCAAAACAGGTTTTGTTTCAGGTTTAAGTGTATTTTCCATTACAAGAAATCCAAGAAATACAAGATCCGATTCCACTTCCTCCCTGAGAAAAAACAATGATAGTGTAATTTAGTGTTTTGAAATTAAAAAAATATTTAGGTCAGTGGTTCCTAATTTAGCAGTGCAATTCCTGTACCTGGGTACTCCTGTGCCTTAAGAATCATAGTTGAATATCTGCAGTTTTAGATCAACTAGGGCACTGCTGCTTCTGTCTGCTAGTCTCACAAGATTTGAAGTGATTTTATGTGATGTCACTACTTTGCTGCTCACTGTTCTTTTTGCTGGACAGGAAGCTGTACCTGAGGAGATACAGTGCAAATATCTTCCTTTTTCATCTTCTTTATTCTGTTGTTCTTTACTTTGTGCAATTCTCCTACTGCTTCTTGAATTTTAACCCACCAGCCATGAGGTTACCAGTGATCAGAGACTAGCTCTGACATGGTAAAGCAAGTCTTGCTCTTTTACCAAGATGGCGACCTCCACATGGAGCAAGGCATGGTAAGATCAGTTGCAGGCATTCTATAGGCAATAGCAGTGAATAGTCCTTTGACTTCAGCTTTGCTTTTTTTTTTAGCACAGCTTCTAAGTTGTGTAGACAAAATAAAAGACCATTTCAGCAATGTTTCTAAAATCAGTGTCACAGCTACAATGTACTAACATTGCTCATAGCAGGCTCATTAAAGTGGACCTTTACCCCCTTTGGCTAAAAATCACATCAGCAAACAGCTCTGCATGCTGATATGAAATCATCTTACATTCGTTAGCTAATCAAACATTTTTATTTTATTAAAAATGTATTTTTTTCCACTTTTTGGCAAAGATGATGTAACGTGCCGTAGCATTGCATCCTGGGAAGGCTACATCAGCAGAGCAGTACTGCAAAATATCGTCTGTAATCTAACGAGATCTCAGGTAAAGGAATTTTCCTCCCCTGAGATGATGTGCATGTCCACATGTCCTATTCACATGTGCCAGAATTCCAGGAATTAAAGGGATATACATTAATCTGCCCTTAGTTAAAATGGCCACTGTCAGAAGACTGGGGAAGAAAAGAAAAATAAGGTATGCAAAAAATAAAGCCGCCAATTATCTAGAAGTATCTGTTTGTAGATTGTCATTAACAAAGATTTCTAAAGATGTCTTTGTTGTTATGTTCAAGATATGGGTAAAGTTCCTCTTTAAAGAAGACATGTCTTTTTACTACTTCAGCAAGAGGTATTATTTCTAACATGTTTGCCTTACTAGAAATTGTTGTGCTATAATTTGTAGATTAAACAGGCTAATATGTCCAATAACATTTTTCTTTTAGAAATTAATAAAGTCCTGTACAGTAGCTGTAAGACTCTTCTTCTATTGGCTAAAGTAGTTCTTCCCATAGTTAGAAAAGTAACATGGACCTAAAAATTACTGGAGGATCAGATGCAAAGCCAGTGTTCTAGATCAGTGGAGGTGCTGGAAAAGTGACATTTTATATCTTGTCTGCTAACAGTATAAATGGAAGAAGGACACGTGCAGAAGGCAGTCAATGGTGTGTGAGAGGGTATGGCATACTTACGAGGTTATTCACAAAAGGCTGAAGCATTTGGAGAAGGACAGGAGAAGTGAACAATCTAGGACAACATAGCTGAACTGGAAAGTGAGCTGAATTGGAGAATTTTTCCAAATCAGCTAGTTTGTCCTAGATTGTTCACTTCTCCTGCCTCATCCAAACTCTTCACCCTTTTGTGAATAGCCCTGTTAGTCTGAAAGTTACTGTGTTATGCAATTACCTGTCAAAGCTGTGGAGGAAATCTTGACCCTTTACCTCTACTATTTTATAAGCCAGTGCAATTACTCGAAATCCTTGCAAAGTATAATATTCAAGTTTGTTTAGAAAACGCAGAGGAACTGTATTTGAAGGAGAATAAAAAAAAGCAAGGAAGGACATTTGTTTTGGTTAATTTATGAAGTATTTATATTTACTTATTTGTTTATACTAATTAGTCTTGCAAAACAATGAATGCATACATTTGAAGTGACAATAAACTCTGGGGTTAACGCTGAAAAATGCATTAAAGTACCTTACCTATTAACAAAAATTTATCTTATTTGTGTATCACTCGGCTGTAGATTCTCAAATCATCTCCGAATTGGTGCTGACACTGTCCTTTCTTCTGGAGAGTGACTACTTTTGTTCCCCATGAACCCTGTGTGTGTTGTAAAGTAGACACCTCTCCAAGTTCACTCACATGATGGACTACAATCTCAATACAAATTGGTAAACCAAACATGAGATTGTAGTCCATCACGGGAGTGAGTTTGGAGTGCAAGGACATTGTCAGCACCAATTCAGAGATGATTTGAGGATCTACAGCTGAGTGATAAACAAATAAGATTCATTTTGTTAATGGTTAAGATATTTATTGCATTTTTAATATTTAACTCCTGAGCTTAGTGTCACTTTAAAAAAAGATAAGTCAAATATAATCCTTATATTCAGGCCTATTAATTTTACAATTTAAAATGTTTTTGTAACTAAACAACTAACTTTAACTAACAAAACTAACTTTAAAATGATCATTCTTAATGTATCATGACTGCAGTAGAGGTACTCACTCTTAGGCCCCATTCACACTGAGCGGATTGCCGCAGATTTCCGCCGCAATATTGCACATTTTTGCCGCGCGATATCGCGAGAAGTCATCGGCCAATGATTTTCAATGGAGCTGTCTTCATGTACAGCTCCGTGTCACCTGTCGCTCGTCGCAGTCGCAAGTCGCTTCTACATGACCCTTTTTTCTGCGGATTTTGCGCGATTTTTCGATTTTTTAATGCAGCCCAACGATTTTTTAATGCAGCCCCGAAAGTTGCGCTATCCCGGCCGCGATTATCCGCTCCAAAAGGTATGTCGCTTAGTGTGAATGGGGCCTTAGAGCAGTGTAGTGATCTATCAACAGATTTAATTTAATCTTCACGTTAAATAACAGGAAGCAAAGTCGTATCTTACTGATCACAAGGTTTAGCTTCAAAAATAATTTCTTAGAAGGATTATATACCAGAGGCTTAGGGTATGTTAGCCCAGTCACAGCAATATTATTTGATCTTTGGTAATACAGAGGTTTTGCTTACCCATCTTCCCTAAATTGGTTGTTTGATTATCTGGCCATTGGTCCCTGCACTTTATATCCTGCTCTTTGCTTTTTTTGACAATCCCAAATGGATGCCCTATTACTGACTAATTTCAAATTCTATTACAAGTCTCTGCATTATGAAAAGTACTATAATAGCATGGTCAGGCAAGTACGGTGTAATGCAAGACTTGTTAGCTTAAAAAATGGTGCAAAGCAGTTACAGTGGTAATGAAGAGAAGTGTGCAATGGAGCTGAGGAATATACTTTTCACTTAGCTTAGTGACACTGTATTCAACACAATCACCAAACAGAGTCTAAGGGAAATCCCTATGTGACATTCAATAATAGCAAGTAAAACTGAATCCAACAGCAGCAGAAAAAAAACCAAAAAAACACAGCATAACGTGTGTCGGCATATTTGACTAACTTGTTTCTAAAGCAAGAGGTTGAAGAATTTCAAAGACGTAGGGGTCTATTCACGAAGTAGCCAAAGGATCTAACCTTAGATTCGGCTGATCCTTTGGCTAGCTTTGGCACCAAGACCCCTTCGGTTCCGTAGAACCGAAGGGCTGCTATACGGGCTATTCACTATAGCCCGTACAGCTCCCGAAATTGGCCGAGCGATTCAGTCGAGCCGAAGGCATATGCTTCGGCTCGACTGAGCCGAGGTGAAAGCCGAAGCTGGCCGAGCGGCCAGCCATTGGCCGGCCGACAGCCTGCTTTTGACAGCTGGGCGGAGCCAGCCATGATGTTACGGCTGGCTCCGTCCACTTGCAGAGAGATCAGCGTCCCTGGTTACCAGCTAACCAGGGACACTGAACTCCAGGCAGCCTAACTCTCCCGGGTGCTCCGGGAGTCTCCGCTCCCGGCCGCCCAGGAGTGAAACACTGCTTTTTCTTTTTTTTTTATTCTGACACTAAGCCGTTGGCTGGCGTCAGAATAAAAAAAAAATCACCATAGGAATGCATTGCTAGAATCCTATTGGCTATTTCAATTTGCAATAGCCAATAGCAAAGTAGCTATTGCACCCGCCCACTGCTGCTGTCAATCAGCAGAGGGGACCTGCAGTTCTCCATCAGGTCCCCTTTAGTGATCGACAGCAGCAGAGGGCGGGTGCATTATCTAGTTTGCTATTAGTTATTGCAAATTGATATAGCCAATAGGAATCTAGCAATGTATTCCTATGGCGAAAATGTTTTGTTTTTTTTTTGACGGCAGCAGAACCGCCGGCCAATAGAAAACAGTTGGGCGGAGCTAGCTGTCACTGCTAGCTCCGCACAATCGTTTTCTATTTATTTTTTTCTACATTTTACACAATGTTTCTGTTCTGCTCGGTACCACAGAGGGAACAAGCAGAACAGCCGAGCCGAATGGCGCTCAGCGGCATTCGTCTATTCACTCACTGCTGTTCGGCATCTATAAGAATAGAACGAACAGCAGCGAGTAGCCTGCCGGAGGTTCGGCTTAGCCGATCCAGATGTTAGATCGTCTGAGTCGAACTCCTTCTGCACTTCTGCAGAGCATGTTCGGCCAACCCGAAGCCACGTGAAGCCACCCGATGTATGGCTGATTTACGCCGATATACGGCTGAAATCAGCCGTACCAGCCTGAAGTGAATAGCCGAACAGCGTTCGGCTCACTTTGCTTCAGGTCGGTCGTTCACTCGGCTGCCTACGGTAGATTAGTGTATAGACCCCATAATATTATTATTACTATCTGTATCAATAAATGTATGTTGTAGTTAACCATACCTGTTTCAGGTTTGCAGAACTGAACTACCATTTCTGGAGCTCCCTTCATAAATACCAACTGTTCATCATTTCCTATGACCTGAGCAATGCCAGACATGCGCTGTAGACTAGATGAGAAAGGAAACTGGTGTAGAATGACCATACCTTCTACTGGCACCTATATTCAAAATCAAGATATGTGCAGAACACATTACTAAATGTCTTTGTATCTGTTCAAATATGGGCATACACAAAAATGTTAACGTGCATCTAAAGTCAAAGGTCAGGGGGTTAGAGCTTTTGTCAGGTTTATATTAATGCTTGTGTCCCTGTTGAGGCAAGTCTCCCCCTCTGTGTGTTCTGGTGACCATTGTCAATGGGACAGAAAGGATAGGTTTCGAACTGTCACCAGAACAGTAATAGAGAGGAAATCTTTTAAATGGTCAAACTTGCTGCACTAACACCTGTCTAAGAAAGCATTTCCCTCACTTTGGAGAGATCTCCCCTTGCTTCCTGTTATGTCTCAAGAATAGGAAGTGAAGGGAAATCTTCCCATTTGGATACCCAATCGCACTGCAAGAGTTAAATGCTCATCAGTGGCGTAACCAGAGTTATGGGCGCCCGGGGCAGAACATTTTTTCTCGCCCCCCCCCATATTATATAAACATCCACTAGAACTGTACCCCCCACCCCCACTCATATATATCAGCTAAGGAACTACAAGTCCAAGCATGCCCTCATTGTCCCTGTACACCCCCCCCACACACATCCTGCGCCCAGGGCAAGTGCCCCCCTGCCCCCCCGGTTGTTACGCCACTGATGCTCATTAGGTCTAGTGTAAAGGAATACGGTGTAATAATGACCTTATTCCTCGCTCCTGCAGGATTCCTCCATCTGTGTGGCTGGCCCTGCAAAGCCTGCTCTCTAAGGTGCTCTGGCCATGGTCACACATATGCCTTTTTATACAACGGGTGGATGGCAAGCGGTTAATATTCCTTTTATACAGTATATAAAAAGCTTTACCAATATATCAGACTCTCTGGTCAGTACATGTGAACAAAATAAATTTACACCATTCGTTTTCACCATTAGTTTTTCTTTAATTATTAGAGGTTTATGGAGACGCAACCCTAAAGAAAGAGGGAGGGACCCTAAAAAAGTACTTTTTTTAAACAGATTTAATAGTTTACAAACATCGTTGCTCTTTAAATGATGTACCTTTTCAGCTCCTGGTCCTGGTTTGAGAATGATATATGGGGTTGATTCCTCGCCCTCTTTTGTTTCAGCATTTCTTTCCTGCAAATACTTCAGAAAAATATTTATAAATATATCATATACATTATATTGTTTTTTTTTCATCTTGGAGGCTGAGCGCACGACATCAAATGACCAAGATATACACCATGATGATGACACCCAAACATACGTATGACATCATGCACTCCACCTCCAAGATAGCAGTGCCCATATGTAGAACACGTGCCATCGGCCGATATGGCCGCTGCGCGTTCTGCAGTTTCAATGTGTGGTTTCAGATTCCGAGGCTCGCTGCCTCCAAATCTGAAACAGCATAAAAATGAGTTTCATTTGATGAAACAAATGACATTTTTTTTGGTTTGCATTTGTTTTGTCCAAAATTTATTTTTATTCCATGCACATGTCTAATATATATATACAGTATGTACACATACATACACAATCAGTATGT